CTTATGCGTGTCTGGTCTGGGGAAAATACGCAACCACTCACATCAGTAAAATACAAATTTATCAAAATAAAGTGCTACGTATTATTGCGAACGCACCTTGGTTTATAAGGAATATAAACCTTCACAAAGACCTTCAGATTCAGGAAATCATAGACAACATAATAACCTTATCAAAAAAACTTCCATACCTCACTGCTTAACTCTTATGGCTCACTTCACTATAAACTCCACATACACCCACTTCATCGTAGATTAAAACGTCCACATGACCTTCTGGTTTAACAACTCCACACAATATACGGCAGCTGTTTGTTACTTTTAGCGTCTAATATTAAGGTTTATAATTTGTTTATATATTATATCTGTTTATACTTTATTGTTAATTATTATTATATCAGTTCACTTTATTTATGTATTATTATATTAACACTTGATAATTTATTGAATCTTTTATTATTATATTATATTAATTCATTTAATTTTACCTGATTTCTTTGTATGTGCAATATTAAATATTAAATAAATATTACTTACAATATATATTATACAAATAGGTAATTGTACATTTTTAGATTTTAAAATGAAAATTGTAGGTGCCTACCTATACAATGTTCACAGTTTTCTAGTGGTGCAATTGCTAAATTTTCACAGGCCAATATACACTACTGGCATTGGGTTCTCAGTTATGGTACTTGAGTGTTATACAATAATAAATATTATTTTTTGATCAATAGAATAAAAAAAATTAAATATTTGAAATTCGATTTTTTATAATCAGTTACTTATCACTATAATCAATAATTATAACAAAATGTAAACATTTTCCAAACTGCATATGGCTGCCAGACTTCAATGATTGAAAGGAGTCGGCTATCTAGTTTAATATATATCTGTGGTTATACCATACCTCTTGTTATCTACAGAAAAAAATACATAGAGATTTTCTAAAGTATCAATTATATTTGCAATAATTGTGCTTGCATCCATGCAACTAACCGACAATGTTCCATTGTAATGTTTTTTTTTCTTTTTTTTACTTATCAGTTAATACAATAATAATAATATTATATTTATGATATTCTTATAAAATTATAAAAAAAGTAGAAATATTTTTTTTTTCATAGGGAAATACTTGAATTCGTAATTGTATTGTGTAATATAAATACTATTTATAGTTGATTATTAAAATACTTAAAATATTATTAAATTGCCGACTCAATGTATCGATAAAGCATTATGAAAACTAGGCCCAACTAGAACGGTGTGGAGGGGTGTCCCACTCTCTAAATCCCCCCCTCGGGACGGCCCTGGGCATAGCATTTTTAACAAACGTGTTTTGACTTTGTTTTCAAGCTTTTTTTTTTAAGTTTTCTGTACAGACAAGGCTTATCGATTCGAAAACAGGTAGACGGAGAAGGAATAGCCTTTTTAACAATCGTAGTCTTCAATAAAATCATTATTAAAACAAAAAAAAAAATTTCATTTGTTGTTGCGTGGGACTTCGGGTAACGGCGTATACAACAGTTAATATAAAAGTTTATTTGAGTTCTTACATTTTTTTTCATAATTTTGGTTATAATGACAATTGATTATTATGACCAATTTTTACTAGTCCCTTGAATATAATAATGAACGGTTTCTACTGTATATAACTTATTTTGGTATACCTGTTTGAGAAATATTTAATTACTTATTTTTATGAAATTTATAGATTTACCTTCAAAATTAGTTGGAAAATGATAAAGATTAAATTAATTTATTGATTTGTTTTCATTACTATAAATCATTAATTTTATTAATGGTAAATTAATATCTTATGAAATTTACTAAAATGTATTCAAATTAAATCACGAATTGTAAAAGAAATATTAATTATTATTCCTTCTTTGAAATCGTGATGGTATTTTAATTTATCTTTGATTTAGTTTCAGATTATAATCAATGGGTCAACAATTAGTAGCTACCTAAGAGCTATTAAGAGGCCGTTCTGGTAGTAAAATTCGACCGTAAAAACATGCTTTTGTACTTCCCATTTTCCTTAGCCCTCGTTAGTCGTAAAACCATGATTTCTTCACTAAAATAAACTTGAGAAGTTCATCTAGATAAATACGTGTCAGATTTTCGATTTTTTTTTTCAAACCAATGATATATGCCTCTTAAATTTTCAAAATTTTCAAAATGTTTAAAGAATTATATAAAAAAGACAGTAAAAGATATCAAAAATCTGAGACGTTATCTAGAGCAACTTCTTAAGTTTATTTTGGTGAAGAAATCATGTTTCCACGACAAACGAGGGCTGAGGAAAATGAGAAGTACAAAAACATGTTTTTGGTAAGTAAAATTAAAAATGTACAGTCGTCAAATACGAAAAAATAAATTGGCCCACCCTTTTTCACGGATTAACTTGAAACCTATACCAATATTTTGCGAGTTATTTGCGAGAATTTGCGAGTTCATTTTCAAAATTTGCGAGTTCACCCCTTACCCACAAATTCCATTTTCCTGCCATGATGTCAGCACACTTAACACGCCCTAGAATTTCAAATTATTAGAATCAAAGGAAACAAAGTAATAACCGGTTATAGTAAGATCTTTTATCACCATACCTAGGGTTGCAAAAAAATCAGTTTTTTTAAAAAAACACATAAAATACGTTTTATTTGTTTAAAACAATGATTTTTATGTTTTAAACAGTTTTTAATTGTTATTTTATTCGTAAGTTTTAAATATTGTTTAAAAAAAATTTTTTTTTTATTTAAAACTAAGTTTATAAAAATATTTTCCCTAAATGAAATTATTACTCTCAGATTTGTAACTATAGTACAGTACAGATGAAAGGTGATTTTATATAGATACTATGATCTTTAATTAGTTCTAAAAAATTACCAAAAATCTTTGTTTCTATCTGTTATTATACTTTTTTAATAACATTTATAAAATAAAATAATAATATCCTTTATTTATATAGAGAATAAATTATCATACTGTTTTAAATATGTTTGAACGGTCATTTTCACATTTTCCACTGTTATTATATTTTAAATTTACCTATCTAAAAATTATGATTTACGACTTACGAGTATGTAACTTATGACTTATTAGTTGTAGACACGTCTTTCAATTATAATTATGGTCTATAGCAACACAATAGAACCTTCCGGAGGACTCATGGGTTTTCCAATTAAAGACACTTCATAATACAATGATTTGATGTAATTTTAAATTTGTTATCCAAATAAAGAGCTATATTTAAAATAAAATATTCTCCATTAATAAGTTCTAAGGCAACTTGGAGGGGCTACGTAAAGTTGGCCCACCCGTCTGTTTTTTAATTATAATTCGCAAATGGCTTACTCGCAAATTTTGAAAATGAATTCACAAATTCTCGTAAAATATTAGTATAGGTTTCAAGTTAATCCGTGAAAAAGGATGAGCCAATTTCACGTACGTGTCGTCAAGTGCTGCTTTGCTGATTATAGCGGCAGCGTTCGAAAACAGTGTTCATTACCACCACCTCGCGCTCGAACGCTACACGTGTACATTTTATAGTCAATATATCAGATTATTTTAATTGTTCTTTTTTTTTCTGCAAAATTTCGCAAATTAAAAACTTCATTTGTAGTATTTTATAATGTCTTAAAGCTCGCTTGTGAATTATTTTTTCAAAAATCGGTTTCTAACAAAACATAGTAAATTATATCATTTTTCCCAGTACCAGATCTACAAATTATGTAACCCGGGGCACAACATAATATTAGCGCCCCTAAAAGTTACCAATAAAAAATGCATGTGTCCTAAAGTGTATCAGAATACGAATTATTATAGGCAATTTAAATTTTAAATATTCACTCAATAAATAAAGAAATTATATATATATTTAATATTTATATATTATGGAAATGTTTATTTTCAATAAAAAACAAAAAATTTAGAACTTAAACCTATATCATAACTTAATGAAGCCTTAGAATCTATAGTAAAGTAAAATAATAATTTTCTTGTTTCTATTTAATAATAATTTTTCTTGATTTTTTTTGATGCGAATTCGTTAATAATATCTTCATAATTTATGGATTTAGCAACTTCGTGCTCAATGGATATCATTGACAGGTTATTTAATCTTGTTTGTTTTGTAGTTGATCTTAAATATGATTTAATTAGTTTCAGTTTACCAAAACTGCGTTCACAAAATGCCGATGTTATGGGTAATGTCAAAAATATTTGATAGGCTGTAAATATGTTGGGATAAGCATCTTGAAGACCATTTTTAAGAATAAAATTTAAAATTTCATGTCAACGAGCATTTATTAATTTATTATCCAATTGAATTACATGTTGAGTAAAACTATCCAACTCTAAAATTAATTAATTTTTGTCAATGTCTTTTTCATATTTTACACAAAAGTCCATAGCATGTTTTTTTAATTGAATTGTTGGCATACTAAGTAAAAACTTTCCATCTAAAAAAGAAAAATCTTTTGCAGCTTCATCAATGGAATCAAATCTTTCTTTTAAACCGTTCAAGATTCTATCACAGACATTTTTCATTAAAATTTTAAATTTATTTTCTTCGGATAATTTTGATGATTCGTCCTCCGCTAATTCACCAGGCATTTTTTCTTTTTTCTAGCTCGAATCGATGGAAATACCGGTTCTATTGATAGCTCAGATGATTTTTGTTTTGATTCATCAAGTGCTTCTTCAATACCTTCTTCCCTAAATTTCTCAATAAAATGTATCAGACCTTCTAAGTGATGAGTCGCTATATCTATTGTAATGTTCTGTTTTTGTAAAATCACATTTACTCTATCAATTGCAGTTAATATTTTATTCCATATTATTAACATACATATAAAATTAAAATTTGTTATCCCTTTCAACAAACAATTTAATTCAACACTTGCTTCTTCACATAAATTACTATTTTTAAGTAACTTACAGACATGAATAACTTGGGCTAACTGCAAATATAATGATTTAACTGCGCGTTGCTTTGCAGATCATCTGGTCGTACTGTAATCTTTCAATGAACATTTCAAATGTTCTTTAAGAATATCCCACCTCTGAGTAGAACTAGAGAAAAATTTGAACAATTTTTGAACAATACCAAAGAATTTTTCTAATTCCGGTGAACATTTAGCGGCATATAAGCCTACTAAGTTTAGACTGTAGGCCGTACAAGGAATAAACCTAGCCAAAGAGTTTTTAGAACTGATCCTAGCTTGAACACCTTTCCATTTCCCAGCCATATTACCTCCATTGTTATATGACTGACCGCGACAGTAGGATAAATCAATACTATGATTAGACAAGCTTCTCAAAATATCTTCTGTTATTGCCTCACCAGTTTTTTTAAAAACTTGTAAAAAACCTAGAAAACTTTCCACAATTTCACATCCATTTTCATTTACAATAACATAACGAATAACTTGAGACATTGGCTCTTCATGTGAGATATCTGGCGTGCAGTCGAATAATAATGAATAATATGTAGCGCTTTTAATTTTTGATAAAATTGTATTTCTAACTTTATTTGCAATAATTTCTAAAAATTCATTTTGAATTTCGTGTGAAAAATATGTAATACTTCCTTTTTTTTGACTTTCAAAATGAATTCTTAGAGGCTCGTTATAATGAGATATTAAATTTACCAAATTTAAAAATTTTCCACTTTGATTAGATTTACCTATATTAGAAACAATTTCGTCAGTTCCACGAAAAGCACTGTTCTCCATTGCTAGATGCATAATTATGTCAATTATTGTTTTCAATACTAATCTCTAATGATTTTCTTCTAATTTTATTGCATTTTGTAACTCTATATCAATTCATTTACCTTCACAAATTGACATTTCAAGCATTTTCCATGAACAAAAATACTTTTTATGAATATTAGAATTTTCATGTTCTGGTATTCTTTCTGATACTTTCTTCCAATTAATAAACCCATCTAATGCTAATTTTGATATATTTTTGTCGTTTGAATTTAAACAATTTGCATGGTACACAAAATAATGCATTTTTTGATTTGGAATAGCTAAGCCAAGTTCGTCGACATTGATTTCCATTTACAAGATTTTTGAAAAACCCAGAAACATTAACAGAACGCCCTTCTCTTTCAGATCTAGTAAGTTTCAATTTTTCAATATAGTTCATTCTCATTCTAACAATATGAGTTCTTTGAGAATCTATTATTTTTTCAGACCATGTACCACAATCTTTGAAATCCAAAGTTTCATTTTCACTTAATTTCAATGACATAAATTCGGACACATTTAGATTTTGATCTTTTTCATGATCAGAATTTATTTCCTCGACAATTACTCCAGAACTACATTTCTCAGTATTCTCATCCTCTTCAACATCTGTCCCATTCTCTTCATTTTCTATGAAATATTAGATATTTATAATAAATCCAGGTATAGGTCCTTGTAAGAAAATTATAATGCCGCAATTGTAATTAAATATTATCAATACTCGGCAAAAACGCCGTAAATATACTTGCTAAAAAATATTTCCGTATGTCTCTTAGTGTATATAATATTAATATCATATACAGCGGTTTTACTTAGCACTTTACTCATAATCTATATTTACGGCATTGTTGTTTAGGAAACATGTCGTAATAATGCCGTGTCTAATAAATTAATTTTAAATTACTGATAAATGATAATGTTTGGGATTTCACTGTTGTATACTGTTACTCATCACACACATATTTGGTTCACTTCTCTATAATATTTTAATATTTTAGTGATCAGTACATTTTCGTATGCTAGGTAAAAAAACTGTAACTGGAATTACGGCGTTTTTGCTTAGTAAACAATTCTAAATAATTTATAGCGTTCTTAGTATAAATATCAAAATCAGAATATCTCGATGAAATAAAATTGAACAGTTCCATTGCATTTGTCAGGTATTTTTTTAATAGAAATTATGTATTTTAGTTTGAAAAATATTATATTTATGAAAATAGAACAACCAATAATTACAAAACATTAAAATCAATTTTACTCAAAATGTCATGTAGAAAACTTACGGCATTCTTCCTTCACAGGGCAGTATTTTACTGTATTATTTCAATATATTATAAAAATTAATTCACAAAATTTTCCGAAAACTATTATTTTAAAAGTTATACCTGTTTCATACTCGTGGTTAGGTATTAAATTCTAAAATAGTACTTATATTGAGAGTAATAAATTATTATAATATTAAATCACGTCATTAATTATTATAAAACTATATGGTTCTAATAATTATAATATAGAATAATAATTATAAATAGTTTCTAACCTGCGCTATATTGTGTATTATTATTACCCAGCCAATTATGAAAATACGCCGAAGTTCGCTCATTTTCTTTTTTTTTTTCCGAGAGCTTTTTTCCGGAACTCGCAACCTGATAATTTTTTTTTTAGACTGTTCCATAACAAAAAAAATATACAATAACTTGTAAGGTACACTTAAATAAATATTTAGTTAAATATGAACATTCCCTTTTCACATAATCATACACATTCATTAAATATCGTCCACTGAACAGTGAAGTGAACGCTAAACACTGTTATAATAAATAAGTACAACTGTTAAATAGCAGAAAATACACACACATGAATACGCAATGCTTTGTTGTCGGCTTATCATTGTCCAATTAGTTCATATACGACTAACCGATACAAGTATACAACATTGGCTTATATTAATTGCAGAGTGGCCCGATTGTGTTTTTGGCTATTTTTAGCAAAATGATAAAATCAATAATATAATATGATATGAAATGACAAATATCTTATCTTAATCTTTACCAGTGTGACTATTATTAATTAAAACTATTTAATTTGAAATACTTATGTAATTCAATACAAGAGATTCAATTGGGTTTAAAAAAAAAATTAAATTGTAATAAAAATAATAAGTTAAAAATTTGAAATTTGCGCCCCTCTAAAATTAGCACCCGGGGCATGGGCCCCGGATCGCCCCCCCCCCCTAGATCCAGTACTGATTTTTCCAACGGTATATTAATTATGCGTCTCAGATCGTTCAATACGTCGTAGTACTTGAAGTTCGAAAAGGGTTTCACAAGAAAGTTTATAATTATTTTCACCGTCTAATAGTACCACCACGCGGCCAGCTAAACGCTGGGCGGTTAGTTGCAATAATGGCGACCCCCGTCCATTACCACTCTACAACGCAATAACCAGTTCGTACCGCAATCTTGATAAATATTAAAAATAAAACTACTGCGATAGCGATGGGTGCTAATAATATTCTACTAACCCTTTTATAATTGCGATGATTATCAGTTCATCTAGAAATTATTTGTCGTCAAATTTTTGACGAGTTTTGACTTTTGACAGACTAATTGTTTTGTGTGTCAATCCTATGTCATCCGTTGACTAGATACTTTTTGTTTTGTGCTATGTTTTTTTAAAAATTCTCATTAAATAAAATTATGAACGACTTTCTGGAGTGCAAAAAAAAAGCGAACAGCACAGTCAAGGCTTAAAAGTCATAAAAAAATAAATGTATGTAGATTAAATAATTTAGAGAAAAAAATCATCAAAATGGTAAATAATTATTTTATTCAACTACTATACAGTTTATACCTTCTTATTGGTTATTGTATTACGTACACGTACCTACATTATTTTTATTCACAGGGAACCTAGTACTCAATGGACTGATCTATTAGAAACCGATAAAACTGTAACTTCGCCATTTATTTATTTAAAAATTAATTATTATAATTATCAAAAATTATTAAATTATTAATTATTTATTTAATTATTTATTAAAAAATGATACTATTTTGGTTTTATTTATCACGGTCGTTACAAAAAAAATCCTGACCAGCGATTTTAGAATTTTTTTTAGAACCGGTAGTTAAGTATATGAGTAAGGTCATATTAAATTTTCAGAATTTTTTATGAAATATTTAAAATTTAATTGCATAAAAACTTTCAAAAAATTAAGTGAGTTCAAAGTTCTATATTTAGGCGAAAAATGCTCAAAATTGCATGAAATTTTTTTTAACAAGGAAATATGTCTTTGATACAGAAAAAAATTTTCAAGTTTCTAGTAAAAACACATTTTGAGGTAAGTAACTAAATCTGAAGAGTGAAAATATCGTTTACGGCGAATTTTTACCGATTTTGCCGTTATTACTCAGTTTTTCGGCAATTTTTCGACTTTCAAGGAAAAACTATGGAGATTTTGGAAAAATGACCATCTCAGTTCGATTTCAAATCTAAAAAGTTGCTGGATGAAACTTTTGGTCCAGGATTTCACGAAAAAGTGTTGACAGACAAGAAAAAATAAAGAGATAAACATTATTGTAAGCCCAATACATTCCTCGCTTTGCTCAGAATCTAAAAACTTTGAGCGTATTTTCTTTCAAGTGTTTGAAGTTTAAAAACTGATACTGCGTAAAAATTACGTTTTTTCTCAATTTTTATTTTGGTTTTCAAAATTTTAAATAAATGTACATTATTAATAATCATATTTATATATGTATACATATATAATAATATATGCATTAATTTTACTTTGTAATTGCAGTCAAGTAGATCAAAATTATGCCAGTCCAGTTGCTCCTATTTCTACACCTGAAAATTCTATGGTAAATAACCCATTGGTAATTGATACTGCATGGTATCACTCTAGGTAAATAATAAATAATATTACGTAAATAATAAAAGTATCTACGACTTACCTAAAAAATATATATACCTATTATACTTTAGCGACATGGATGTATCATCACAATGTTTAGCGGTGGAAACCGAAATTAGTAATACAAATGATTTTAAAGTGTAGGTTGTTATTACTCATTATTTATTAGTTATTATACAAATAAATGTTTTTAATAAAATAATCAAACATTTTATTTTATTATTTTATTGTTACATATTATATGTAACAATAAAATACGACAAAAATTAATATTGCAGGCCTCTTATCGGATGTCGAATAATTGATATTTCCTTTTTTATTAAACAAATTCAAGTTCAGCATAATGCAGGGTTAAGTTGTTCTTTTATTGATATGGACTTTCAATCAGAAGTAATTCGTGGATTCCAATCAATATTACGTTTTAAGTGTAGAATTTGTGGCATAATAACTCAAATATACTCTGAAAAAGAAACTGAAAACATTATACCTATCAATAGAGCCGTTGTAAATGCTTGTCAAGTTATAGGTAAATGCGTATACAATGATGTCACTACATTAAATAATAATTATAATATTAATAGTTTCTATTTTCTACAAATTCTTCATGATTATTATAATACCTAGTTTATCATGACAGGTATTGGACATACACAACTGACGGAATTTATAGCTTTCCTTGATATGCATTCCCTCTCGTGTGATAAATATATTAAAATTCAAAATAATATTGCCGAACTAATTCATGAGTCGGAATGGGAGGAAATTAAAAAATCTGGCGAAGAAGATAAACGTAAAGCTATTGAATGTGGTGATATCGATTCTGACGGAATACTGACGGAATCATTATAGATTATATTTGGAAGCCTTGTCGCCAGAAATAGTTGATCCATTATACCCGAAAAGGATGCTCAAAACTGATAAAAGAGAATGTTAAATAATAATAAATAAACATCATATATAAATATTATAATATAATAAAATTATACGGTATATATTTCGATAATATTTTACACGTCTTGTATTTTAATTTTATTTCACTTATTATAGTTTTACCTTTGTCCGATGATTATTATTATTTGACTTATAATTTATTATTAGAAATATAGTTTGATTATATTATAATATTACAATCGTAATCGATTTATAATAATAGGAAAAAAAATTATTTAGGTGAATGTATGTAATAGGTGTAGATCACGAAGTAAGTGTAACTCCATCTAAATTACATAATAAAATGTAATGTTGGTTGATAGGCGAGATCTCTTATTGATAGTGAGTACGCGCCATCATATCAGACGTATAATAAGCGAGAAATGAATACTATGACCGCTGTTGCATTCTCGAGAGACGTCTATCAACTAACATTCGGTATAACACTGAAGCGCGCTCCTGAATTACTCTGTGGCCGGAATTGAAAATATGAGCCGATAGCGCGCGGTACTGGGCGTGGCTAAACGCACGCATGCGTCGTGTGAAATCACCCAACAGCGCAATCTATCGAGCGTTATACGGTTTCGTTTGTCCGGGCAGCGTCCTCTTAATATACGTGACATATAAATCCCACGAATATTCCAGGGGCGGTTCTAGCACTAGATTTTCGTACGGGCAAACAATATATTTTATGTTTCAAGTTACGTCCCGTTTCACGTAGGTGCGTATCGTACGCGTGTAAGTAACATAAATTGTTGTTTATTTTGTTTTCACAGGTAAATTTGTAAATTGTAATTCTGTAAATAATAAGTAATAAATATCTTTTGTTTTCACAGAGAAACCAAATGTTGCTATTATCCGATAAAAAATTTATAACATCCTTATGTACATTTATAAGTAAGCTGTAAGCTAAATTTAAATTCTAAATTTTCCTAAGCTACAGTTTTTTCCTTAACAGTTAACACACATAAAAAATAAAAATATTAATTCAAATTATATATATATATATATATA